ACAGTTTCGACTCAAAAATCGCTGTGTAAAAATGTATATGAAAAAACCGAGCTTAACAAACCAATGATTCCATTGCGTGCCTTGCAAAATGCACATTGACCTAAATTTAAAAACAAAACTTTGTGTATAATAATGCGATTTAGTTTATAAATTCGGCGAACAGTTTGGAAAACAATCAGTTTTCGTGCGAACTCATTTAGCTTAAAACATCCACTTACCGTTTTGAGTCACTAAAAATAAAAATTCCTGCAGCCTTCAAGGCTTTTCCACTTAAAAGTGTTTCCGGCAGATTTCCGTCTAGTTTTTCCGGTTTCTTCATCGTTGAATGCATATAAAAACGCTTTTATCTACTAAACTGCCTTTTAGATGCGATGCTAACGATTAGATTAAAACTCATACACTCTGGAAGCTTGAGTATTTTGAAGAAAACAAGTCTGAATTTGCACAAACGAAAGAAAAAAAATGTTTTTTTTGATGCAAAACACGAAAAGCACGCAATATCTTATAATTCTATATTAAATGTCTGTCATCTGGGGAGTTTTTTTTGTGTAACGGTTTTTCGTTGAAAAAATAAAAACCGAATAATTATTCAATCTGTGCCACTGTTTTACTAACTGATGAAGGATAATAGATCCGAAACCGGTCCTGGATGTGCTCGTTTGTGACGCAGCCAAAATCTTGCTCTTGTACTTTTATTTAACTTGATTTTTTGGTTGAATTCTTGCACGTTTTTGCAACATCCAAGGTTTTGTTGGTGCACACTATATAGTTATGGCTAATAAATTCGCATATATCTGATCATCTGATCTGGTCCCGTGCGATTCAACCGATATGAAATATCGAGCAAACTTTTAAGTTTATCATTCCACATTTTATGGTAATTAAAATCCATCAATGCCCAGCAGATTTGAACGTTTTGCCGCTGGGAAATTAACTACACCGTTTTAATGGGCAGTTAAAGTCAATATCTATTTGACTGATTCTCGATAAAACTATCTAAATCAAGGCATTCGGTTATTGGCAAATGTCTAAACTTCCCATTATAATTTACCGCGGAAAATTATTTGCGGAAATTTAAAATTCCAGTTCAAACTGGGCAAAATGTTGGAAGAAAGTGCCGGTTTGGGGGTTGGGCGCTATATAACTTCTACGCCACTGGGAAAAGTCGCAATTTGCAAACACCTTTCGAAAGGCTGTTCTTTTCTGTTCAAAAAATGCCCTTCCTATCGAAAACATGAAAAAAATACAATCAATTTGCATGGAAACTTACCCGAAATATACCATCGGGCAGGGTTTTGCCCACGAATCTCCTCCTTATCAACACACGCCAAAACCCCGGCTTTGCCCTCAAAATGTTCGAAGCAAAATTCTTCAAGCGAAAACAGCTGAACTGCCTGCTTCAAAGACGGAACTTCCATTTTCAAACATTCTTAAACCATCTTGATCTACCAGTTCTTTGAAGGCATACTGTCGAAGACCATCGCAAGGCTTCTCATAGAGAATGTGAAAATCCCTATTGACCAACGGATGTTTTTGAACGTAATCGACCATCTCGCATCGATATTCTTCAGTTCGATTGTTCCAGAGCATTTCCGATGTGTGATTGCAGCACTTTTGAATACAGTTTCGCAATTTGCACGCATTTTCCGTCGATATAGTCAGAACTGTGGTCAAGGAGGCGCAAACTAGAAGACCGGTTCTTAGCACGTGAGTCATTGATTGATTGTTTAAAGGCAGAGAGCGAGATGCAGACTGTCCACAGTCCACAATAGAAAAAGGCGAATGGATGTTTCTAAATGTATCTTTATGTAAAACGGCCATTCAGCAACCAAGCTGTGGATGACCGCAATTTAAAGACACGCCTTTTAAATAGGCAGATATGCGGAAGGCTAATTGCATTTATTTTTCGCCTGCTTAATGCTCAACTAATGAAAACGTGGAATGTTACACAATCAACACACTTACTGGAGCTCCGAAATGCTAATGAATCGTTCACATTCAAGGTTTTTTCGCCTATTCTTGAGGAAAAGTGGCGATTTCTCGGTTGCGATTTCAAATCGCGTTAACTGGGCAAAACCCAGCGATCAAGTTAGTCTTGGACGGGGATTTTCAAAGTTTGTTTAACAATTTCTCGTCTAAAACTTTGCAAGTTGTAATTTTACGCAGTTTTGTTCAGGTTTTCAAGATGTTCATTGCCCAAAATACTGCATTTGAAAAACTTTGATTTTTGTTCCGCATAAAAGAATAATCGACTAAACTTTTGGGTGTCTAGAGATTCTTTCGTGTTTTGCGTAGTTTTCGAGAAAAACGCTAAAATGTAAACCTTTGCGCTCGCTCGAAGCAGTTGATTCAGCAGCATTCAGATTTTCGGTTAAAAAATGCAAAATGCGGCGGTGACCCACATTATCTTTATCCCTCTCTAACGCCTTGCTGGCCCTATATTGTGTCTTTTACGGACGGTAGTCAAGTCAGCTTGTTTAACAGTTTCTCGTCTAATACTTTGCAAAGTTGGAATTTTAAGCAGTTTTGTTGTGGTTTTGAAGAAGTTCATTGCCCAAAATATTGCATTTTAAATTTTTCAAATTTTCGTCCGGCATAAAACAATAGTTGACTAAACTTTTGGGTGCCAAGACATTTTTTAATGTTTCGCGTAGTTTTTGAGGAAAACACTAAAATATAAACCTTTGCGCTCGACCGAAGCAGTTGATTCAGCAGCGATAGTTAAAAAACTTTTTATTCTACTTAACAAGAAAAACAGTTTTTCAAACACTGAATTTTTTTGGTTTGCAGGTTTAACGACGATAATTACAGGAAAAAACACCAAACAATTGTTCCAGTCGCCAGCCAAAAAAATCACAGATACTGAATTTTAAGGAAAAACTCGTGAAAAGTACTTGATAATTGTCTTTGTTGAATCTTAAATTCGAAAATTTTTCATTTTTTCTAAGTTTATTTTTGTGATTTTTTGGCAAAAATAGGGAACAATTGTTTATTTTTGTACAGTTCGCTAATGCACAATTTTATTGGAAGTTTCCAGGATTTCTTATGGCGTTCTTTAATCGAGCATTGATTTTCGGTGCAAAAAATGCAAAAATGCGGCGGCGGTGACCCACACTATCTTTATCCCTCTCTAACGCCTTGCTGGCCCTATATAGTGTCTTTTAGGACAGTCGTCAAAATCAATTAACGGGAAGTTATTAAAAAACGAAAAAGCTGAAAAAGCGCCAGGTGAAAAGGAGGAATCACAGAGATTTTTGTTCCTTATTCCGAAAATTATTTGATCACTTAAGGTGCGAAAAAAATACCTTTCAATATAAATAAAACCGAAATAGCTAGAGACATCTAGAGACCAAACTTTCTTCAAAATCAGAGTCGAGTCAAACCTTGGACAAAGTTTTGGAACTTTTACGACTTTTTCGAAAATAAAGAAAGCTTGCCCAGCTATCTCTAAAGCATCAATTAACAGCATTAAGCATACTTACTATAGACAATATGTTCCGTATAACCCAGAGGCACCATCGCCTTGTTCAAACAGATCAAAACGCTTAGTTCACCATCCTTTTGCTCCAAACAAAATTTACTTGGCGATAAGATTGCTTCAGTTTCATCTTCATATACCGAACCATTATCGAAAATCGTCACAATTTCGATCGGTAGAAGTACCGGAGACTCAATGCTTCTGTCACACGGCATATGATTCGCAGCTATTCGCGTAATATTTTCGAAAATTGAATAGTTCTTTGACCACCGATCGGTGCGAATACATTCAAGTTTGTCGTTTATTCGTGCATAAACATCGCCCCAATCACAGCATTTTTGGAAGCACTTTTCCGAATTACACTCTAAAGAAGGCGCGTTTGATTTGGCTGGAAAAGGGAGCCTCAAGAGTAGAGCCATTAAGACTGTGCGAAAGATGCGTAACATGGTGATTGACGATGAGGAAGCTGAAACGCACTGGCATATCAAGCCGATTTTTCCAGGATAAAGCCGGAATAGCTAAAACCGCATAAAGACCTTTAGTGGACTTATCGAGGCTGGTGATCTCATTATTCCTGATAAGTGCGTGTTGGGCACGATTATTACACATATATAAATGGGTCACTTAAAAATGGCCTCTATGGCAAACCTATACAAATGAACGCAGTCAGTAGTTCTTAACTGGATTTTTTATTAAACGAGTCTGCAGTCTTATATGGCTTGTATGAGTATGCGAAAAAAGTCAGCCATACTGACTAATTTCCTGGAAAAATGGAAACTGAACCAATTACTAAAAATGCAATTTTTTCACCCACTAAGTGTGTAAGTAATTTTTTTAAGTACTGATAAGTTTTAAGACATTTTGGGAACAGTTGCATTTTTTTCAAAAAATCGACGAAATTTTCGGCCAAAAATCAAAATTTTACATGCGGGTTTTTTGAGCTTAATCGATTCCTTTCGATGTAAGAAGGTCACAAATGTGCATTTATAAAGTGTTTGGGTCAATAATAGGGAAGAAATCGTCGGTTGAAGATCGTGAAAGCTCAAAAACGCTTAAAATGTGCCGAAAATCTCTATTATTTCGGATCTGAAACTTCTACCATGTTTTTCAATGACTTCGATGCATTCCTGACGTCCGTGCGCTGAAAATGATGTAAAATTTATGACGTTTTGAGAAAATTTTCATTTTTTTTTCGACCAAAAATCGAAATTTGCAAATTACACTACTTAATTGCATGAAAAATCAGTCGGCGAAGAAATCCAAAAAACGAATTTAAATGGTCTTGTCAGTCCTTATATACATAAAGGAACAAAAGCAACTTCGAAACCAATTTCAAATTCTTGGAAGACAAATAGGATTTACAAGAACAAAACATTTTGCCATTTCATTCATTCCTTTCATAAAAACAACGCAACCGGCGTCTGACATGGTGTCTTTTCAGTAAAACCAAAGAAAAAACGTTAATCGCGCTGCACCGCTAGCGAACTTACCAACCAATAGACATCACAAAACACAGCGTCTTCCTGGTATCCCTGGTTGCGCTCTGTTGCCGATTGGCAGCACTGGGCCCAGTCTGCCTCGCCATTTCTGACAGTTCTTATGAAAATATACTCCCACAAAATTCAATTAAATGTTTATTTAATAATTTTTTTAATGCCGGATTAATAATTATCGCACCCACTTGTAAACCCACATGATAATGACTTCGGGCAGCGAAGAGTATACAGTCGAAGACTCTGATGAGTCTCTTTTGGACTTCAGAGAGGTTTGTTTACATGGCTCTAGCAGAGGAATTCCCGAATTTTATTTAATTTTGATATTACTATATGTGTTTTTGCTAGTAGTTGCTACTGCACCTCATGTGGGATGTAGCAGCAAGCCACTAAGGCGCTTAAGCGTTCACTTGCAGCATTTTAAAATGATTTACATGCAGGAAAATCAGTTTCCCTTCAACTTTAGGAAACTCTTCAAAGTGCTTAAATTGCAGATCAATGACTTCGATTTTGATATACCCGAAGTGGCGGCACCCACCTTGGAGAAGGTTCTGTGGGACATGGAGTCGGAAGAGGGAAGCGACACCACGTCGTTACAATCCTTCCAAAGCATGACTTCCAGATTTCGCTCCATGATGTCCCATTGTATCCTGCAAGGCCTTTCCACGCAAATTTCCTCTGCAGCTGTAAAAAACTCCCCATTCGCTCAGCAGGTCAAGTACTAAACTGTCTAATGTTCCAGGATAGAGTTAAAGCCGGTTTACCCTCGGTGATAGCCAACAGTTTAAAGTATGTGGCTGTGGGCACATCGCATGGCTACATTCTGAATTTCGATTCAGAACAGAACCTGTGCTGGTGCTACCAGAACCCGAGCTTAGTGGATCAAGGAGCGATATCTGCCTTGGCCTTTAATCTGGAAAGCATCCGGCTGCTTGTGGGGTAAATCCTGAATGTTTTGCGACTTCCCACCAAATGCATCGGAAAATGTTGCAGATACGAGCGGGGCTACATTACGATGCTGGACGCCAAGAGCGGAGACATGATAAGGCAAATGCCCGATGCTCATGCCCCGCAAACGGCCGTTCTTCATCTGCGATTCACTTTTCTCCACAACCTTGCCCTGTGTGGAGACTCGTCTGGCTGTGTTTTTTCCTTGGGGTTCAATCGCAAGTTGGGGGTAAGTTTTCTCATGCTAATCAAAAAATCCTGAATTTGAATTTGATGATGTTGGGATTTCAGATGCGAACCTGGGACTCCAAGTGTCTATTTTCTGGGGCTCGAGGCGAGGTTTGCGTCTTTGAACCGTTAGTCCAGGGCCATGATGTGAATTTCCTAAGCAGGCATGCGTTGGTTGCAATGGCCACCCTATCAAAGGTACCCCAAGTCGCTGAAGCGTCCTGTTTTGCTCTGATTCATTGCGTCTTTTCAGATTATTGTGATATCAGTAAAACCGCGCCTAAAGGTGCACTTTAATCAGCAGCTACCAAAGATATCTTCATCCTTACCATTAATTTCCTGGCAATTAGTTTCGATAGGGAAAACGTTTCAGCCAGTCCTGGCTTGGGCTAGAGCCAACTACTTACACTACGCGAGGTAAGTAGCGGACCCCTTGGCTAAATTGGCTAAAAACACATGATTGCGTTGTCCAACAGGTTAATAACGAACTTCGGTTCAAGCAGCAATAATAGAATTAGACTGATGCCTTTACGGAATGTACAGTTGCCTTACACTTTAACAGCATTACATTGGCTGGGTAAGCAGCTAATAGAGGAGCACGGTTGGGCTTTAAGGCGAATGTTTCAGGCACCAGACATTTGGCCCTGTTGGACACTAGTGAAAATCTGCATCTAGTCGAAGTGCGCACTCAGCGCGAGCTGGAACTGCTGGAACTTTCAAATGCTGGCCTGGTTTATGGGTCAGCCCACTTTAAGGCTTTGGCAGTTGGGGGTGGAGTGAGCGAAGCTTTTGCCCTTGCTGGCGAACGCGCGTGCTACAACAGTTTGAGCAGTAGAGGGACGCAGCTACTGCTGCTAGGTAAACGCGACTATCCACTAGTTTTGCAATTTTGAGCGAAAGTTTTTAGGAACAAAGGCCGTCCATTTGGTTAAGCTGCGAACGTGGCCCGAGCGCATAATTTTCCTTAGCGAACAAGGTAACGACCAGCACCAGCTAAGTCCTAAAAAGTTTGAATGTGTCTGTTGTCGATGTAGGCAGATGGGCGGAGGCTCTGAATTTAGCCGCTGAGGAAGGCCTGAACAAGGAGAGCTTCACCATAGAGCTGTTGACTAGATATTTAGAGAATCTGAACCAAAACACTGTGGATAAAGACAGTCTAACCGCAGCAGTTGCTTGCTGTGTTAGATTGAACAAGATGTAAGCACGCCTTTGGGTTGAATGCTGTCGCTTTCAATGCAGATTGTTCTAGTGATATTCTTTGCAACGAGCTGCTGGAAGCGGTTACAACTGACCAACACAATCTGGACTGGTACTATTCACTGCTCACTGATCACATTTGCGGCGGTAGTTTGAAGGACTTGTCGCCGTCTGTTTCGCAGATGTTAGTCGCGCATTTAGAGCATAGAGATCCGCAACTACTCGAAAGCATTCTACTGTCTTTGGAAATAGGTAAACCAACTAGTTGCCGAGTCAATTGGGAGCTTTACAAGGTGCTGTTGGTTGTTTCAGGCTGTTTGGATTTGCATCAGGTGCTGAAGGTTTGCAAAAGACTGAACTTGTACAATGCCTGGATTCACATTACCACCAGAACTCTGGGCGACTATACTTCGCCGTTAGTCGAGTTTCTAACAGATTTAACGCCCAGTAATAACAGGTGAATACAATTTGATCGCGAGAGTTTCGCAGAATGCATGCCGTTGGTTTCAGGTTGGGCAACACTCTGTTAGTGTACGTATCATCTTGTCTAGCAGGTTTGGGCTACCCAAATGGAAGTATACCCGAAAGCGACGTTCCCCGGGTAAAATATGACGTGCTAAGGTGCTTAGAGACGGTGCATTCGATTAATGGAAAATCCGATGAGGGCAGCTATCCCTATCTACGGGCGCTATTAAGGTACAACACTAGAGAGTGTCTGAATGTGGTGGAATTGGCCTTTACTGAGGCCGAGTTTTTGGGCGAAATGGGGCTGTTGCAAAGGCAAAGACTCATCCACATTCTCATGCAAATCGTTACCCCGCCCCAATTTTCGGTGAGTTTCCTCCTTCGGAGTTTTCCATCCAGGTTTCATTGCGATGTTTTGCAGGACAGCCAGATAATCAACCTGGCCTGCTTCATATCAAGATTGGTGACCAACGACAGTCTAGCTATCGACGAGTCGATGCTAACCTCGGTGATACAGTCTTTGACCAATTTGGCTGGCGATTCTCTAACCCTTCGGGATCACTCAGAAAAAGAGCAGGCATGGCTGGATTTGCTGAAAGCAAAAAAACTCACCCAGTTCGACTTGACAAAGCTGCTGGAAATGGCACTGAAGTCGCGCTGCTATCGAGTCGCCGAACATTTGCACGAACTGCAGGGCAATTTTAGTAGCATCCTGGAGTGCTACCTGAAGGATCCAGTGCGCGTAAGCGACGTGTTTAACTACATTCTCAGCTACATCCAAGCGCCAGAACGCTGTGTGAAGCAACAGTTTTTAGAGAATTTCAACCACTTGGCGGCAATCAGCTGCGAAAAGGCCACAGAGATAGTCATCGATCATTTTCCGGATTACATCGAAGCGCTAACAGATCTGCTCAGTGATGATACGGACTTACAGTACAGTTTTCTAAGTGAACTGGTGTCAAGCGATCTTAAGTTGCCGGATAAAATAGCCGAGCTGTTCTTGGAACAGGTGTGTGCCAGACATCCGTGTAAAGCGTGCGAATTTTTATTGGCTCGACCGTGTAGAACGGAAGCAGCTTTGGAGATTACACGAAAATATCGGGTAGGTAAGCCGGGTTGTTTTGTCACTAAATGAATAATTTCTAGTGCTTTCCATTTGTGCAAACATCGTTTTCTTGCGTAGGTTCATCAAGCGACAGCCTTGCTGTTGGAGCAATCGGGAGAATGGACTGAACCCTTGGAGCTGCTCATTTCCAACGACTTGGTGGATGAAGCTGTGGCTTTGTGCATTCGAGGCGCCGAGCATCTGGACCCTGAAGGCGCCCAGACTTTGTGGCTGACTCTATTGCAAAGTAAGGTAAGCAGTTTGGAGTCCGCATGCTTTTGCGCTGTTTCTTGAAGAAAAACTGCGGTGTTTTATTGCAGAGGAGCCTGAAAAAGACGTCGTTGAGGCAACTGCTGCATGCAGCTGCGCCGCATGTTCCTCCCGATCAGCTCCTCGATTTGGTGAATAATGCTAATTACGGGGAAGTGAAGAGCACAGTGTTGGGAATGCTTAGCGATTATAAGCACGACATTGATTTGCTGCAGTCTAGCATGCAAGTTCTGGGCAAAGATCTCCATTATCGTAAGTTCGGACAAAAGTTGTCTTGCGTCGATTTAAGGTGTTGGATGGATTTTTCAGAATTGGCCAAGACATTTCAGCAGAATGGAAAAGGTGTTTCAATCAGAAAACTCACTTGCGATCTTTGCCAAAAATCGTTTTCTTACCGCAAGGAAGTGGACACGAATATGAGCATTTGCGTATGGGGATGCGGGCATTCCTTTCACTCTCAATGCATCGGTGCCAGCGATTCCAACGATTTCTGTCCGGTTTGTAGGAGAATAGGCAAACCGCTGCCTAAAATGAAGAAAATCTTGGAAAAAAGCCCTTACAGAGGTAAGACTATACTAAGGCCCGACCTAGAAGGTCATTTTTAAAACTAGTCTATGCTTAGGATGAATTACTTGATTTTACCCGACCCACTGGGTATCGCTTTAGCGAACTTATTTATGTTCTTGATCGATCCGGCAAGCAACTAAAGTAGATTAACCCACTTCCTGCTCCAACACAAATCATACCTGTTTTCGAATCCCCCAATTAGTTCAGTATTTCCGTTTGAAGGCCAGTTGCCTATTCCTTCGCCTTATCCCTTCAACTTATCATACATTGATTGTGATATTTATATTTTTATTATTTGTACAAAACTATATACATGTTAATGCGTAAGTGAAGGATAATTTATTAAAATAAAATAAGCTGCAAAGTACTTTGAGAAGTTTACTTGCATTCGATCGATTACAAAATCTAAAAATAATATTGACCGAAACATGTACGTGTAATAATAATATCGCCTGACTATAACAATCTTTACAAATAAATATTTATACATAATTTACAACGCTTTACATCAACAATTTTGTTTCACTGCCGGGGCAGGTTCAAAAAATATTAATTTCCTTAGAACTGTGCCAAAAAAACGCCTTCCATCTAATGGTCTTTATCAATATTAGTTACCTATTTGATGACTTCTCGGAGATTTATCATAACTAGTTGCTTAAACTTGAGAAGAAGTCGCAGGTGAGCATTTATCAAATACTCTGCACGTTTCAATAAACAATGAAATTACTACAATTGCATATCAGTTTGATGAAGAATGAAGTCGTCGGGTCGTCTCAAAACGCAACTTGCGGTTTAAACATCAGTGAAGTTGGATAAAGTCAACTTTAATCTAAAAACAAACCAACCAATGTGCCGCCTTTAGGTAGAAGCTCGAAAAAAATTACCGATTAAACGAAAGTGTGTCGGATGTCCCCATTAGCTGTTGCAGAATGTTTACCGCGCCAAATTCCCGCAATTTTAGTTGCCTTTCCAATGCGCCTGGTTCGCCTATTCTCGACAGATTTCCGATGCAGAACACTGCGGATTCCTGCAACAATCAATCAATTACGGTTTCGTTTTTTCCGGGGGGGCCGATCAAGTCAACCTGCAAACATGGTGCCGGATGGGTCATGTAGTCAACGAGTTTTTTCAAAATATCTTCATTGATCATTATGTGGTCCTTTGCTCGATCTCCGTCGGCAATACTGGACAAAATCAACAACGCCTGCTCTTTCACCTAAATAGATGCATGCTTGTACAGCGAAAATGTGGTTCTTGAGCAAAATACCTCCGGTGAATGGGGCCCTTCCAACACTAAAACGACCGCTTGCATCACTTGGGTGCCGTGCAGCGCCATCATTGCATCTGTATGTGTGCGAGGAGAGACTAGGTTTCTTAACAGGCCCAAAGTTTTCATTATAACTCCCACATCTGAGTCGGCCAGCAATCTGTTATGGCAAAGTGTTTTGGTTCGCATTTTTCAGTGGCTGTACTGTTTTTACCGGAAAATCTGATCAGTTCCCAACGTATTTAGTATCTGGCTTTTCACCCGTTGCTCCGCTTGAAAGGTCAAGTTCATCAAGCCCCAAACGCCGTTCAATCTTACCGCCGGGTCGGAGTACGTAGTCAAATTCGACATCACTTGTATTGCCCCTAAAGCACGCCTGCGACTTCACAGTGGGAATGTTGAATTTAAATCGAACCAACCTTGTTGCATGAGGGGCTCCTTAACCGGGGAGAACTCAAGAAGCAAGTTGCAAAGTGTGGATGAAGCTGCCAGGATCATTTCTTTGGTGGTATCGCCTGAAATTTCGCATTGTTAGGCATTTTCCTCTGGCGTTTTCTCTTCGGCTCACCTGCTAAAACTGTCATCAACGGCTTCCACACCGAATGGTCCTGGAATGTGGTGCGCAATTGTTGGACAGACCTGCTAAGCGAGTGCAAGCAACGCATTGCTGCTAAATTGACATCCTTGTTTTGGTCGTTCAACGCTTCGGCCACTTGGACCATTAAACATTTGGTGCTGATTATCCGCTTCCTTATGTCCTCCTCATCAGCGGCCAATGAAGCAAAAGCCCTGTAAAGAAAAGGCCTCAAACCAGCTCTGTTTGTGCCTCAACTAACTCAACTGTACCTAAAGGCGGCGATTTTAGCGGCCACTGAACCGCACGTTATGAGATCGAGTAGCGCGCTGGGTAGATGGTTGCTGATGGCAGCAATTTGTTGCAAATTGCTGTCCACCTCTGTTAGATAGGCCAGAGTTTCAGCTGCCATCGCTCGTTGCGCTATCGAATGTTCCACCTGGAAACTCACTAAATTGCCGTTGGGTTCAATGCTTTTGTTGAACGGCCCTCACCTGGCAATGCCTCACTAAGCATGGGAGGGTTTTGTAAGTTATCATCGGATCCAAAGCCAATATTGCTCCAGCTCTGTGCAGATTTGTCAAGCATCTATAAAGCATTTTTTTTTATTCAGAAGCTCATAGTTTGATGTTCGTCCTACCTAGCAGCTTCCAACTGCATCTCTACTGGTTTATCTCTGCATATCATTAACGAGAGATAGTCAACGATCTTCACATCTCTGTAGGATGTATTTACTATTTCTTTGGCTACGTGTGGGTTGTTTAGGCACATGGAGGCCAGACACGTAGCCACCGGGATTCGTATGGAAGGGGTGTCTAAAGATAACAGGAACCCTGCAAAGGGCGCAGCTGAACTTTTCCGTTTGGTTTAACGTGAGTGGTCCGACTGCTTACCTAATGCAGCAGGTCCGCCAATAAAGCACAAGTTGTTTTGCTCGGTGACTGTTTTGCACGCTGATGTCAGAATAGTGGCTATGCAAGAGCGCCTTTGCAAGGACGCAATGGGACTAGCTGAAAAATTGGAACGTTCATTAGGATTGAA